ATTAAATTACTCATCAACATTGTGAGAATGGGGACAAAAGTTTGCCTTTTGGTAAATGTCTGCTCTTAAAGAACAGACTCAGTATTTCCTGGTGCTATTCAATGTTTTACTTTTTTTTTTTTTCCCCCCCCATATTTCTGACCTCATAGAATTGTTCAAACCTTATGATTCACCACGTTTTGCAGTGTGACGTCTTTACAGAGATTGAAAAACAGCAGTTTGTTTCAATCTTCTTATTAACAGCGTGGGTGATGGAACTGGTCAGACACGGCCAAATACCTATATAGAATTATAGAATCATATAATGGCTTAGGTTGGAAGGGATCTCAAGGATCATCACGTTCCAACCCCTGCCACAGGCAGGACCACCAACCTCCAGAACATCTGGACATCTGTCATCTGTTCAACCTTAGATACCCCAGCTGGCCTCCAGCTGTTTGGCAGGGTGCTGCTCTCCGGTGAGCCCCAGGTTCTCGTGATGCTCCAGGTTCTCTTGAGTACCCAACACACCTGATGTGGCACCCCACAAATACACTCTGGCAATCGAGCAGATATCCCAGCGGTGCTGTGGATAAACCTGCTTGAGTTTAGAAATCAGTGCAAAATCAGTGAGATGAAATGCTGTGAAGGCAAATGAGAAATCAACACTTTGCACGAGGAGAAAACAAATACATAGACTGAAGCTCCTGCCTTCCTGTAATGGAAGGGACCTGATGAGCAGGAGAGGGACCAACGTTTTGCATGGTCTGATAGTGGTAGGACATGGGGGCACAGCTTTAAACTAAAAGAGGGGAAATTCAGGTTAGATGGTAAGAAGAAATTATTTACCTAGAGAGTGGTGAGGCCCTGTCCTAGAGAAGATGTGGGTGCCCCATCTCTGTAGGCATTCAAAGCCAGGTTGGATGGGCATCAGGCTGAACTGAAGGGGGGCCACCAGCCCCACAGCAGGAGTTGGAGCTGGATGATTTTTAAGGTTCCTTCCAACCTGAGTGATTCTGTGGCCCTGTGAAGTATGGTTAATTGAGTGGCAACACCATTGCAGAGACTGATCTGGGGATTAGAGTGGGAAGGTTGGAGTAGACGACCTCATGAAGTCCCTTCCAGTCTCAACTGTCCTGAAATTCTGCTATCCTCAGTCTGTATCAGAGAGATGATGCCAATGTGTAGCACTGCACTTTAAGAAACATGGAGGCAAAAAAAAAAAAAAAGAGCTTAAATGGGAAGAGGAGATTGAATGGGAAAAATGGGTTATATGGAAACCTGTAGGATATAGGTTCTCTGAGAAATGATTGAAGAAATTCAGTCAGTCTGTTTCCACTTGAGAAAAGTAAAGCTACCCAAATAAGGATGTGTAAAATATGTACTAGATTGTTCTGAAGCATGGAGTGAATAACTGCTCTCCATCTCCTTTATGGTTATTGGCTTGTTTTACAGCAGAGGAGTTGAAGTTAGAAATTAGAAAATTAGCCATCTACCACTATGATTTTGTTCAGGATCAGACTATCCCAGGAGCTGAGGGAATCCCTTATTTATTTTTTGGAGAAAAGAAAGAAATTACAAGAAATTAAAGAAATACAAGAGCCTGAGTTGCCTTTAGAAATTGCATAGGGATTGTTCAATCTCATATCATACATAGCTTGTATGGTTTCTACATTCCTGTGTTCTGCTCATGGCTATGGTGTAAAGACTGTCTCCAAGGGTTTCCTACTCTCAGTTGGCTGCACAGAAAGGCATAGACACTGGAGGTGTTGGTTGGAGAATGAATTAATAATATTCAGCAGAGCAAGAACTGCCTTTCCATATTCTATGTGAGATAGGCTGGAAAGATAAGGTGGTCCTCATCTTGAGCAAATAACAAGAGTGGAACAAGAAGTAGAGCAACAATGAGTCACAAGCATTGGATCAGAACTATGAGCAGCAGTGGGTGGAACTGGTTGAAAATCTTCCAACAGAAAAAAAAACCAACAAACCAACTTTACTGTATTGCTATGAGAAATGTCATTCTATTGAAATTAAAAAAAAAAAAAAAAAAAAAAAAAAAAAAAAAAAAAAGTGGAAGAAATCATTGATCCAGAGAAAATGTTTCAGTCTGAGAAAATGACAGCTTAAAATTACTCCAAATGTTAATTTTTAAAATCTTATCTCAGTTCAGTCCCTAATGGCAGTCCAGAGATCCACCGTGCATTGAGAACCCACCCCATAACTCCCGTTTCTATAAATTGTCTTCTTTGGCATTATAATTTATAGAGACAGTTTTGAGCAGTGTCTAATAAATTGCTCGTTGGGACTTAAGATGAAAACTAATGGCTTCCTCTCAGTATCATTTGGTTTGGGCAAAGGACTTCTGGAAGGTCGTGGCATTTCTGTCTTTTCTACAGGCACGAGCAGTGCAGACTGGAGTGCTAAGAAAGAAATCTGTCATGTTCCTGTTCCCCAGCCCCTGAGGACAGGGTCCCTGTGACCAATCACCACCCCAACCTTTTGCATGTCATCTCTTCACTCGACACGACCCATCAGGTCCCATGCTCTTTGGCAGCCCAGATTTCATTTTGTTGCATTGACTTCTCTCTTTGGTTTCGATTGCAGGCTAATGGGGACAAATTATTGTTCCCCTTGCAGAGACACTGACAGTCAGCTGGGTAATTATTGTCATTTGTACTGATAAACTGGGATTCTGAGGTACCCTTTTTGCTACTGATATTTCTCTGAAACAGCCCCAGCCATCTCTTAATGGCAGAAAGGAGTCAGTGTTCCCAGATGTCTGATCCTGAGTCACACGGGCTACAAGAACTTGCATTCAGCACAGGAGGTGGGAGAGGTTCATAGTTTAACACACAGTTTAATTTATTATGTCGTATTAAAAACAGTACCCAGATAAGATCTTGTACAGAGTGAATCCTTCCACTGACTGCAGTGGGAGTTGCAGGTTTACAGTGCACTCTTATTGCCCACGTTTTGCATTCAGTCATCATGAGGTATGAACAACACCAACTCAAGATGGAGAATTTGTCTCCTCTTGCCTGCTTTCTTCTTGTCTTCATGAGTCTCCTGCACATTGCTTCCTGAGCAGCATCTCCTGCTCAGTCACATCACTCTGATTGACATTCCATTTAAAGCTGGGCATCTGAGCATCCTGAAGAACGTGGGCTTTGGTGCTGCAGTGCACAGCAGGGGAATGTTTCTAGAACCTCAACTGGAAAGACTGCTTCAAGAAGGTGGAGATCAACTTGGAAATGCTACCTAGCCACAGCACACTGACTGTTAATTTGACACTTCCTCTTTAAAGTATTGGCTCTGTAAGGCATATAAACAGCTATCTGCTTTAAGCATATTCCGTCCTGTTTCTGATGTTTCTAGGACTATCCATTCAGCTTAAATATAATTGATGCCTGCTCAAAAGGCTTGGTGTTCTGCATCCTCAAACACTATTTCTTATGCTTGCTAGGAAAAGTTTGCCTGTGATAGACAGGCTCGTGTCTCTGGGAGAGTTTGAGAGCTCTTCAAACAGTTCTACACACTAGCAAACCATTCAATATTTAATTGCTCTTTCTTGACTGTATGGACATTTTCTTAATGTGTTAGTTCAGCAGAGCAATAGGAATCTCTCAGCTTGGTGCCTGTGCCCCAGCTGTTTGCATAGTGTGGCTCACTAAGTACTATGCTCAGCAACTACAGAAGCATGGGGGCCCACATACAGCCTTTTTCTGCCACAGAGCACCTAAACATGATTCCCACACAAAGATCCCAGGAAAACTCAATCCCACAAAAGCAGATCTGTGTCAAAATCAGTGCTCAGTATGGTATAGTTCAAGCCTGTGACTGCAAGTGGGTGTGTTGTACAAAGGGAACATCCAGTCTTGGGCTCCAGGGTGTTCAGGATGGGTTTCTCCATAGTAAATGAATTTGATTGGGGCAGCAAGGATCTGAACTTGGAAGTTTAGAGGCCTTTTTCCATTTGAACAGGACTTTCTCTAATGCAGACCTCTCAGATCACCAAGCTCAAGCCCAAACCACCCCCACCATGCTCACCATCCATGTCTCTCAGTACCACATCTCCACTGTTCTGGCACACCCCCAAGGATGGTGACCCCACCACCTCCCTGAGCGAAATAAGCTTGCCATTGCCTGGAAGACAGGATGATTGTTGTCTGTCAAAAGATTTGAAACCACTTTTCATATCAGAGATGATGATTAAGGAAAACACAAAGTTGATTCCAATACAGTGCACAACCAGGAAGCAAGATTCCGGAGAGGCGTAAAGAAATAAGCACTATAATACACCTCAGTCGCTACTTGACAAGGGTAGTGAATTTTAATTTAAGTGTTCCATTTTATATAGGAACATGGTTAATTTTCACAGCTTGAGAGGGGTTGGGGCCTGACTCTTGAGACAAACCATTTTCCCTGGGAATTGTCTCCCCCATTAGAAGTCTTTACCTGAGGCAAAGCTCAGCATGTTATAGCTTCAGTCTCAGGCATCCCACAGAGTGTGAATGGATCTATTTATCCCTTGGGTTTTCTCATAAGTTTGAAGCTCAGTAGTTAATCAAAATAACCTTGCAGCCCTAGTAATGAAGTACAGCAATCTCTGTTTGCAGATGCTCTGGAAATTGAGTTGTTTGCTGGACAATCCCAGATGGGTTAGCACCATCTTCATCAGGAAAAAAAACCACTTCACTACAGTGCAAATGGCCTTCCCAGGAAGAACACTTTCAAGGGAGATTTTCCTTTCTGAGAAGAACTGAAGGCCCCATAAATTGGCCAGTCTGTACCTGTAGAGGATCGTGCTGACTCCCTGGGGCTCAAGCCAGGGACATTACTATGAGAAATGAGCACAGTGGAATTGCCATGTCACAGCCTGAACCAATAATTAAGCACCAGGTGAGAAGGTGGGCTAACATGGGGAGCTCAGGTGCAAGCAATGCACCTGAGTGACGAGAAGGTGTGGAGCCTGGATCCACCCCTCGTCAATTCTGATTTAAGGGTTAGCAATGGAGGAAGTGGGATTTCCCTGGGTAGAGGTTGTGCTCTTCTTGTGCTGGTTGTTGGCAGAGGTGAGCTAATTTTCTTTTTTTTTGTTACCTGCTAATGCTCCGTCGTGTTTGTATCCCATTAGAAGGCACTGCCCTTGCCTTCTTTTGCTGTATGCATGAGCCAGCAGTGTGCTCCTGCAGCCTGGAAGGCTGTGTTATTGTTCTGTATAGAAGTAATGAAGGACCTGCAAAGTAATGGGAAGCTTTTTATGGTTGCAGTGTAGGAAGAAAGGCAGAATTACTGGTGCAGTTTTCTAGGTTTTGTGGTCACTATGGCTGGGGTGAACTGGAAGGGTTATATACTTTAATGTAGGTGATAGCATTCAATTGGGCAGCAGCACCACTCTCTATCTGGGAAGAGGTTGAGTTTACATCCTACCTGGGTACGCATACCTAGGGCTGAGAAACACACTGGAGAAGTTAAATACCCATCTGATATCCCTGAACGTTCTGCCTCTGCTTTAAGTCTACTTAATGCATGCCATTTCTGCCTTGGTGAGGATGAAAGCATTATTTAACACCTTGCAGTTTTTCAGGAAACAGCTCTACACTTTGACCCTTCTACCACCCCTCAGATGCTTGAACCAAGTTTTCAACGTAAATACATGCTAGCTAGTTTTGTAATATGGAACTGTCAGTCCAAAGTGAGGAACAGCATGAGAAGATCTGGTAATAGGGAAAAGAGAGAGGCTATCTGTAGAAATGAAGGAATAGTTAATCTATGCTTCTCCATGAATATTTAGAAGCATTTCCTCAACTTGTGCTATGGAATATTACAGAAGGAAAAATAGGAACCTTCTTATTTCATCTTATTTATTGATTTATTATAATTAACTTTGCCTAGATTGCACAAATGCATAAAGTCTGCATAAGAATGTGCTTGCTACTGGAATTACATGGTCTTTCACAGATGATCTCTTTCTGAAAGCAATGAAATCTGCTTGCTAATCAGCTACAGGAAAAATAGAGCATCCCCCTCACTCCCAACCCCAGTGCAGGAAGGAACTATGCTAGAATGTTGCACTCAGGAAAACTTGCAGAAAGACTCGAATCTATTTAGAAAACCTAAAAGGAAAACTGATCATAGAGTGTAAGTCCCAACAGATGGAAGAGATTTCTGATAGCCGGGGGCTTTCAGTCTAACTAACAAAGACAGTGTAAGATTCAGTCAGTAAAGGTTGGAAGCAGATGGATTCAAGACAGAAATAAGGTGCTATCTGGGAACTGTAAGGGAGATCAGGTTTTGAAGTGAGAAGTAGCTTCTTGATTGCCTGGAGTCTTTAAAGGGTGATTCAGAGCCTTTGTGAAATTTGTGTACTCTATAACACATGGGGTTGAATTCCAGAACTGTGAGGTGGATTTGGTGACTGAGCCAAACTCACCTTCCTTGATCACCATGATCCCTTGAGGCTTATGCATCCAGGGCTCCTGCCTGCTACTTGTGGGTTTACCTGCAGCTAGCCTGGGCAGGGAGAATTCATCTCTGCCTTGAAACTCTTCTGCAAGAAAGTCCTGTTTGCTCATCCCCATGTGTGTCCAACCAAGCCTATGGAGTGATTCATAAACAATTTCAACTTGAACATCCCCAGAGCAGTGCTTGGAAACTTGATCCTACAAGTGAGATAGTCCAGATGTGTCTATACTGGACTGCTCTAGTTTGTCACCAGGGATCAGCCAAGCTTGGATTAAACATGTGTCACCTGGAGAGATCAGAGCAGACGAAACAAATGGATCCTCCCCAGAGCACTACCAAGGGTTCTGCTGCATTGCAAAGCTGGTGGGTAGCATGATGGTTTGGGATTTTCTCCTTCTGCTCTCCTGAGGTGAGGTCAGGAGCACAGACAAAGCGGGGCCAGTTTGAAACAAATTTTCTGCAATTGCTGCACGACTGGAATGAAAATTTCAATTCAGTTATCTTTATTTCTTCCCTGTGCTCTGAAATAGTTTAAAAGGTTCAGGTGAAGGCTGAGCCTGCAAGTTCTGAAAGGACGTGCTGCTATTACCCAGAAATAATACCTATCAAAACAGACCAAACAAATGTGACCCTCGTTGTCGCCAGCCCTCAGTTAAGCCAGCTGGTCTATCTAATCTGTCTCATCTTTGTGTTTTCTCCCTCTCAGCTAAATCATTAAACATCATGCAGAACTCATCCATCCCATTGCATCAATCCATTTCCTATTGGCAAAGGTGAAATTGCAATCCACCAGCCAGGGATGCCAATGTCTTGTAGGCGACAGAGGGGCTCCCAGGTGAATTTCCAAAGATGGAAACAAGTTGTGGGGTAAAAATATATGCCAAAGACTACAATTGCTGCAATGGTTCACAGGTAGGTCAAAGCCATGAGATTTCCCCTTTCATTCTGGTGCTCATTCCTCCTTTGAGCTTGGAGGAATCATCTGCTTTTTTCATGCTTGTTTGGTTTTTTTTTGGTTGGGAAAATAATCATTTGTAGCATAGGTTGAGGAGGGAGGATGGAGGGAAATGCTCTGAACTTCCCACTGGTTCTGGGAACATTAATTCTGGGGCTGTGTCCCTGTGCATGACTTGAATGCAAGTTTGGGCCCAGATCTCAGTCTCAGAGTCTGAGAAACAGAGATCTGTGGTCAGAAAGGTTCCCAGAGTAGAACAGAGCATTCAGGAGAGAGCTTCACTTGAGATTCCTAAAGAAGAGGAGTTCAGTGCAGGATCACTCAAGCACACAATACCTGGGAATGGTCCCATGACTAAATGTTGGGTGGTAGACCAAGAGGACATGGCCACCTTGGGCAGCTTTAAAATCCCTTCTGTCTCTTTCTCATAGAGCATACACCTCCCTCTGTTACACCTGGACTCCTTGAACCTAAGTTCCCCCTCTTTCTGCTGGTCCAGCAGTGTCCAAATTTCTCCTCAGATTCCTATGTGACCTTTAAGTCAGTCCCTGCCCCTGTTCCACATGGCCTGATTTTCTAGCAGTATAACTCACAGTTCCAGGCACACTAAGTACCAGCTGGGCAGTTCATCCTGTTAGTAGGATTACAGAATAACACTAGAAACCACAGTTACAATAAATTAACTACCTAAATTAATAGCAGAAATTTAGCACATCATGAGCCTGACTTTTTTTTTTTTCCCAGGTGTAGTTTCAGAGCTGAGACGTTCTGCCTTGCGTTTTGCTATGGGATGGGTTCATCTTGGAGACAGATATGAAAAGTTCAGGTAACCAGCTCATCACAGTCCCATTGTGGTCAGCAGTGATGTGCATAGAGGAACCCCAGTGTACCTTTCCAGCTTCCCTCAAATGGAGTTAGGAAAAAACTCCCAGTAGCATTTTGGAGTGAAATGGAGAAGCAGCAGCCTTTGGGCATCAATTGGAAAAGAGTGAGGATGAAAGATGCATGACCCAGAGGAGGAGAAGGATAAAATGTGTTCCTTCAGATACAAAACTGATTGAAAACCTACTGCTGTGAATAAAACAGGGCTGTTCTTCTCATACAACGGACAGCTTTTGTTGCTTGGAGCCTGAGCTTGTGTTTCACTGCAGCAAAAGTAGTTGGAAGCACCAGGATGGTGTCAAACGTGGGACAGCTTGGCTCAGTAACCATATGGGCTTTTGGAGATGTGCATGGCAGATGTCCCTTGGAGAGCACTCCTGGACATGAGGGTATGTATGCGTGGTCAGTGTTCCTGATGTGTACAAACCAACCTGGCTGAAATCCTCTCCCCTAGCATTTTTATACAAGACTGCCTCAGCTCAGAGGCAGCTAACCCTTTCCTGAGGGTCAGGCATTCATTGCAAATCCTCTCATGCCAGCATCACTTCCATGGTGCCCTGATGCTTCCAGGACACAGATCACGTGATTTAGTGGGCAATTATCAGCTGCATGTGTATGGGATCACATGCATTGCACTGAAACTACCATGTGACACATCCTGGGCTTGATTAGGAACAAATCAATATTCACTGGGCTAACTGGGTTGTTATTTTTCCACTGCTCCACTAATATAACAACCTGACTGGCCTGTGTGTCTCTCTTTCTGACTCAGGCAGAAACGGTCAGTTAAAATATGCATGTTGGAGAAATATCCTTCACCTTACCTCTCACAAGAGCACCAGAATGAATTCAGCCCCCATCTGCACACTCCTGTCCATGCAGAGAGAGGTGGAGCTGGGGTCTGCTGCTTTCAAGACACTCGAAATCCCTGTATCTCTGCAAGGACAGCGAGAATCGATCCGACTCTAAATCCCATTTCTTATTTAATATTTAAGATAAACAGAATTTAAAGGGAATGTAGAAATTGCTAACTCATACCCAGGGAAAAACCATTTTTAAGAGAGTGAAACACCAGCTGAGAACTGCCATCCTATCTACATCTTTCTTTCCTTTCAGCCAAGCCGAATTTTTTTGCTGGCATTAGTATTGATTTACATGAGCAGAGGGCAGATGGTTTTTTTTCCTGCCCTTCAAAAAAGGGTCTGCTGCAATGTAGCAGGGAACAAGGCCATCTCATGCTTCGCTTTGGAAGTTGCCCTGTGTGGCCCTGGATGATGATAAAAGATGGGGACCTTCTGCAGAACTGCTGATGCACAGGTCCCAAAAACATATTAATTATAATTCTGGGTGGTAGGAAATTGTACGTGACACAAGTTCAGCCTGCACATAATTGCATCTGCTTGCATCTTACACTCAGGAGAAAGGAATAAGAAAGGAATAAGCAGGCTGTTTCTGAGATTTTCAAAAATGAGCTGCCTGATACCTCTGGAAGCAGGATAAAGTTATGTCTTTTTTCATTGTTGGCATTATCATAAATAATGTTCTGAGCCTGAATCCATTACTGAGTTGGAGAGGGACTCGTAGACCTTCGAAGGCAATTAGGATCAGCTGCAAAGGACAATGTGTTCTTTTTTTAACATGTACCTGTACAGCATTGTTACAGTGCCTGGAGAGAGATGCTTGGGAACTGCTCCTCTCCGTGAAAACTTCTGATTAAAATAATCCAAAGTTTGGTAAATTTTAGATTTGCCAAATACATTTTTCTAAAGCCTTTCTGTCTTCAGAAAAGTGAAATTCCTAAAACTTCCAAATTAAGCATCCTAGGATTTGAACAGAAATAATGGGGGGGGCGGAGGGAGGAGGAATCGCAGTTCAGAGAATTGGGTGGAAAAACTTCTCTTTCTGTGAAAATCTTCATTCAGTAACCAACCTGTTTTCCAGAAGTGGATGTGCAGGATCTCCCATCAGGCCAAAGGCCATAAAGATTTCCATTTGAGATGCATCTCATGCTGATGGTGTGGTCAGCAACCTTCATGGCATGATACCCCAATTTGCACCTTCATGGCATGATACCCCAATTTGCCATTGTTTTCTAACACTTTACCTCATATTTTTTTGTTCTCTGCTGCCGTAGCGAAGACACATCACAGTTCCTACGTGCCAGCTGAAACAGCTCTTTGCTGATATTTGGTTCATTTAGGATGCTCCCAGCTGACTCTGCCTGTTAGACTGGGGGAGCTGCTGCCTGCACCCTCTGTCTCTGCTGGGAAAGCTGAAGGGGGAATTTTCTCATATCCTGGTGAAATCTTGTCTGCAACCCCCAGACCAGAGCTAATTATGTAAAAACAATAATTAGGCCAGAGCTACAGTTAGTTTCTTTATCTCTCAGAAAAGGAGATTTGCCTACTTTGAGCTATTCTAACTACTACTTCTGCCCTGATTATAGAAATGGAGTGGGTGGCAAGAGATACCATGCACAGGCAGCAGAGTTGAGAAATCTGCAGAAAGATGAGAAAATAATAATCCAACAAGCCTGACAAGCTCCAAACATGGCATTGCCTATCCTCCTGTATGCACGCTGCCTATGCAGGGCCAGAGCCAGACTTGCCCACACAGAAGGAGAGAGAGTCAGGGGAGAAATTATAGCTTCACTGGTGCAAAAAGGGACTTGAACATGAAATTCTGTGTGGTCAGGGTTTTACCAGGAGTCTAAAGGGAGTCTCAGCAGCAGAACTTGCAGTGCTGCTGAATTAACGCGTGGCATATTCACATGCATGCACTGCTGAGGTCAGATCCCATCAGGAGGGATGCGGTAGAATTGCTGACGGAAATTTCTGAAGAGAGAGTCTCTGGTTTTACAGCTGGGAAAGAGGAGTGAGAATAATTCAGGAACGCTGGTTTGGGGAGATAATTTCTGGTCTCGATCACCCAATTTATTTTATTTGTAATTTCTTTATATTTGGTATCATTTCTTATGCTTTTGTTACAGCGTTCAAGAAGAGCTTCACTGAGGGGGAACTCCTGTGGACATCCACAGGTGGTTAATTTTGATCTGACAATACTTAATGTCTTTGTTTATGTCCGGAAAGAAAATACTGAATTGCTGCATGTGAAGCTTGCATAGGGCACAGAAACTCCATGGAGTCATAAGTAGCAAAGAGGATGCAGAAATGCTGCACATCCCAATGAATTGCCAGGCAGGTTACTCATAACCTAATAACTTTGCAAATCCTTGCACAGACTGAAGTTCACTTGAATGCTGTTAGAGTTAAGTTAATGTGGGAGGAAAACCTACAGCTTAATGGGATCCTTTCATCATCCATATGGAGAGGTTAGATGAGTGAGTTAAGGTACAGAAACAAATTTTTAGACACGCTGAATGAGAACTTCTTGAAGCAAATGTTCAGAGACCCCATCAGAAAAGAATAAATTCTTTATTTAAGCCTCTGTACTGAAAAGATGTTGTTCCAGATGTTCACTTACCAAAGAGTAACTCTGTAATGATGATCATTATATACTTGTATTTGTGCAGTTTTATGGAAGTGAGGAAGTCACAGGTGAGGATTCCCTTTATTAAAGACTCCCTTTAAAAGGGCATGAAGAAGAGATGACAAAAATGAGAAATCTGGCTAAAAATAAAGGTAAAGGAGCAGCAGAAAGGGTGAAATATCTTTGGATGGCATAAACCCATTTAGAGATACATATGAGAAGCATGTAGCAAGGGCATACCATCCACTGAAATAGACATAGCAGCCCTAAAATAGGGGATGCGAATGGAACAACAGAGTAAAGGAATCTGTTTAAGTCAAACAGAAATTGTTTAAAAGCATAAGTCGCTTTTTAAAACAGGATGAACAGTAGCTCTTTTAACTTAAATACGAAATTATAGGATTGCAAGTTGGATTATCTTCTAAGAAACTACCTGCTGAAGAAATAAAGCTTGAAATAATTTTTTTTTTTTCAAATACATCAGAAGAGGGCCTGCTGGAAAACTGCTAGATGATGGAGGTTTAAAAGCACAGGAAGTTAAGGATCCTGGAAAAGAGGAAAAATGATTTCTTTGCATATTATTGTGAGTTCAGGGAAGTCTTTCTTTACAGAGGGTGTCTGACCAGCCATCAGAACTTAAGGAACAGGCTTTTAAAGAAATGATACAACGAACAGTGGGGAATGAGCAGGAACAGATGGCATTCACCCAAGAGGTTTAAAGGAATTCAATATGAAATTGCTGATCTACTTGTTGTGTTGTGCAAAGTATTGCTTAAATCAATGCCAGTGTTACAGCAGTGTAAGACAACAAATGAGGAACAAGCTTTTAAAGGAAGCTCTGAAGCATCTGGAAGAATACAGACATGATCATGGACTGGTAAAAACCAGTCAAAAAGAGTAGCTAAATAGATATAAAGCGTAGTCTCTCTTTAAAAATATGAGAGTTCTTTGAAGGAGTTGATGGGTACACAGTTGATAAATCCAACTGATGCATTTGTATCTCCAAAAAGCTTTCAGTGAGGTCCCTTCAGTAACAACTCTTGAGGAAATGAAGCTGTCCTGAGGAAATAAGAGGCCTCTTCATAATTAGTCAGTGGTTGAGACAGAGGTAAAAGTAAATGATGAGTTTTTTACAGTGAAGATAAAATGCCAGTAGGATCTTGGGGCATTCTTTCTACGCTTTTCTACTTTTTCATTAGAGAATCTTTTACTTTCTCATCAGCGCTGGTCATCAAGCTCACAAAATTTGCTGAGGATCTATGGAACAAAGCCTTTACAGCAGCCAAATCTGAATGTGCCTATGAAAAGCTGAGGGAAGAGCTCACAACTCTGAATGATTCGGTGGTAAAATAGCAGAAGGGGTTCATGGTCTATAAAGGCTGAGTCATAAACAGAGATGAAAACAGCCCTGACTGTACACACATAATCACGGGGTGTGAATGAAATAGATCTTGGTAGCGTAGAAAGTACCATGGAAATGCCTGCCCATGCTCTCAGCGGTGCCAAAGCCAGCATACAAGCAATTCCTGCTGGAGACTTGTTGCTGTGAGGCTGATTACAAAGGTGTATATGTCACCCTACGTTCAGAAATTCTCTAGACTGTGTTTTACTGAAAGCTGGGGGGTGTAGTGGGGGAAATGCTATCTTGAGGTTGCCTGGAGCAGAGCAGGGAGGACAAGCATAACAACTTCTGGTCACCTCTCCACATATTTATGATGCTCCTGTGGCCCTTAGGAAAGTTACTCTGCAAGGAAGTCATTTCAAGGCACTGTGAGACATGACAGAAGTTCTCCAAACACCATTCCTTTTATGAAGGAAAATAACTAGAAGCTGGATAAACAATTCATATTGTTCCTCATTAGTTCACACTAATCAGTAGAGTGTCTCAAATAAGCATTTAATTAAGAATTAATGTGGCGGCTGTTATAAAATGAAATATTAATTGGAAAAGGAAAATTTCAGGTTTGTTTAGGTGAAAGAATTCTGGCTGCCTCACGCTTAACTTGATTACACAAGTGCTTTCCAATTCCTGAATTGTTTAATGTATACAAGTCATAAGGACCTGACATTTAACAAGGGAACGCTGGCAAATTAATTCCGTTCAGTGCTAAAAACGCATCTTGACATTTGGTGGTTGGTGTGTTAACCAGAGCTTCCTCATCAGAATTGCATGTTTCGCTGTGTGCTAATTAACTGCCCTGTTATCCCATTTTCAAAAGAATTAAGAAACAATTGGGATTTAATGTATTACTAATAAGTGGACTGATGTCAGCTGCGAGATGTGGGCTTGGTTCCAAGAAGAAGGCAGGGCTGTTTGTCCTCTTAGCCACGCAGAGGGAGAGCTGCGTGTAGGGTCTCTCCATCCGTCTTCTCCTAAGACCCAAAGACTCACAGCGCTTCTGTGTGAGGGTCAGAATGAGGTTAACCAACCAGTTGCAAAAGTAGATGTTTCAATCGATGGGCATCTCTCTGCTGCTCCGGGCCTTTCCAGTTTCAGAGCTGCCCGAGCCTTGTCATGCTCTGTGATGAGTTCAGTTATCTGTAAGCTGGATGTTTCAGGAACTGAAACTTTAATGCATCGATGCTGACTGAGTGTGCCAAATGCTTTCAGCCAAGAAGGTAGTAAAAGAGAGTTTTTTGAACATGTCAAAACACCTCATTTTCACGTTTTCTAGATGGAAATGTTTTGGTTTGGAAATGAGAAAATGCTTCAATTTGATATTCCCTATGTGACAGCGTTCAGACTTCTTTCTTTCCAAATGACAGGTTCTTTGTTGTTTAAAATTGACCAACATTCTCCCTGTTAGTCAAACCTTTTATTTTAAGGACTCTAGAAAAAAAATAAAAGACAAAAGATTCTCTTTTTGATGGAACGAAACTGTTTGGGTGAGCCCAAAACAACATTTCAGCATTTTTTCCTTTGCAACCTCCTGTTTTGTTTGATTAGAAACAGTTTCCCTTCCCTGCCCTCCTCTCTAAGAGCACTTGACAAATGTCATCTCATTATCAGAAGGCAGATGGAAAAATACTCATGCCCTCAGGTCTTTGGGAAAAGCAGTTCTTTACGACCGTTTATAGTAAGTCATTCTGGAGGAGATGGGCACTAAAGATATCCAGCTCTCCAGCCTTTGAGCTGATGAGCCAATGGCTTTGTACAAGGGGC